AATTAATTTATTTTAAAATCTTTTTTTTTTCAACAAAGAGGCTTACAATTTTAAAGCCAAAAGCCTTTGTCATGAGAGAGGCATTTTATGTAAGCGTTACGCTGTAAACGTTTCATCCCTAGGTATAAGTTAATACGTTTTACGGCACAGTGTGCTTTAACCCTCCTCGTGTTGATGGACGATTGAATCGGCAGTAACTTTCGTTCTCTGGTGTCGCGGCCGATTTAATCGGCAAGTAATTATTTGAGTCGATATTTTGGTTGGTTTATTCCATATTTTATTTCACCATACAATTTTAACTCCTTGACAATTGACAAGTAAGCTCTACTTTCTATTTCACTATATTTCATGAGTAGTTGTGGCCTTTACTTGCCTGCTCTTTTCTTTTTTCAAAAAATCCACAAAAACAGGTGCACGCTTGCTCGGACCCAAAGTATTCATGTGAACTTTTAGACAACAAAGGGTAAGAATGAAACATTCTACATTTTCTATTTGTTACACAGTCACTTTTAACAGATTTAAGCGATTTTTAAAAACAAAAGCAGGCCTGTATTCGATGATTGAAAGTCTCCATTTTTTGCGATTCATAGATATGTTTCTAAAGTGCCTGGATCTCACTCACGCGTGGATTGGACAGATGATGAACAGACTAGCTACAACCAGCAGGGAATGTAACCTCTCATATGGCGAGTTGATGGACATGAACCTCTAATGTCAAATACTCATTTGTGGTCTCGGGATTTTTAATAAGGCATGATGAAAAAAACCGAAGCAAGTTGTTTTAAATCCTGTTTGAACTTTATTGAAATCAGGAGTTTTAAATCAGGGGTCAGCAATTTTTATTGTTAACATAAAAAACCACCCCAAACAGTAAATCATTTTCATTGTTTATGTAAATATCTTGCGAAGATTTTTGCCAGATCTCCAGGAAACGAAAGAATAATTCTACAGTGTGTAACTTTCAGATTCATTTTAGACGCTTTACAGACAACTCCAGGACCACCTCCGTCCAAACTCAGTCACGTGACGGAAGTATACCCGTGGCTGGCAAATGTGCTACTAAGGAGGGGCGCTTTGAAGGTGAGAAAGATTTTCATGTGCTTATTTATTATCAAGCATTCTCAAAGCGGCAATTCTTATTCCATTAATTTCCTTTCTTGCTTTTATATAAATTGAAGACGTTTCTAACCACAGTAGGGGCAATTTTTAGGGCGGAGAACATGAGCTGAAAGAGAAACAAACTGCAGTCCAATCAAGGCCAAAACTCGAACTTTTGTGACATCATGGCCTGCTCAGTGCCTAGTTTTGAAAAATGTGACGTCAAAATGTTTGAGTTTTACAAGATGGTTAAGCCTTTTTTAATGCAATTCTTTGAATATCTTAATAACGACTCGGAATATTCTTACGATTTTGAAAGAACAGACAGAACATAATTTGTTTCTGACTGACCTCATGGTCTTAGCAACTCAAAACGGCCAAAATTGTCAGATAGAACTTTGCGATTCTGAGGTAGCAAAGTGTTGTCGAATGGGCAGAATGCATGTCCTCAATGAGTTAAACGTCTTATCCTCAGCCCAAATGGTGCGCCCACCTTGCATCTGGTCAGCTCAGACTGACACACGACCTGCTCACACCACCAGGGGGCGTCAGCAGCTCAAGGATGTCAGGTTCTACGACAGACGAATGCAGAATGTTCTTCCTACATCCTGTTAGAGGTTCAAACATATTACTTTTGGCTCTCGCAACAAGATCTTCATCCGGCTGTACATCTGAGAACGGAGCTCCTTTCGAAGTGAGCAGTTATGATTCTACTCTGTGTTGATTTCCTCAAATAAAAAAATATAAAGAAATACCCCTCTTAGTTATAGCTCTCATTTCGTCCCGCTTTATAAAATGCAATTTTAAGAAACGCAATGCTTGATAACATTCAGCGATTCATTCGTTCATTCTGTGTCCAAGCTTTCTGTTTTATTCACTCAACGACCCCTCCTGTCTCCTCCCCCCTCTCTCATTTAATCAACAAAAGGTTTTTATTCCTTTGTTTCATATTAACTCCTTGGCAACAAGGACTGTTCTTTGGGTCCGAGGGGACCGCCCCCTTTGGGCGCCAAACCGCCCGCCCTTCGGAAGTGCAAGAACTGCCCGTCACTGGGGAACTCAACCCTGTCCAACTGCCAACCACCATGCTTCTGTGGCATCAAACGAGACAGCTGCTCTGCCCAGATGATCAAACCTGTGGGTAACTGGGAGTTAGAGGCTTGTTTTGGTAAGTCACTGATATCTAAGTGTGTTTAATATTCTGGCATATTGTAAAATTTGAGCAAATAGCTTTTCCTTTCGTTTTCATTTAACATCCCTCTCACCTTCTTTCTCTACCTTTTCCGCCCTCTCCCGCCCCCCCCCTCT